GGAAAGGCCGGGCAGGTGGTGACTGAGAGGGCTGCACCCCGAGCGCAGCGGGTATAAAATAGATTTCTGCCGCCCCGGCCGGCAGCCGCCTCTCTGTCTCACTGGAGAGCCGAGAATTTGCTCCCACGCTAAACACAGCTGAGGCCTTGCAAGGCAGCCTCGGTGTTTGCTTCGGAGAGTTTGCTCGTGTGAGCTGCTGACACCAGCTGCTGCTGCAGAGGAGCTGAGAGTTTAGGAGCAAACTTGCTCCTTCTGCTTCCACTTGTACATTTTAACCCAGCGGAACGCAAGAGGTGCCTTTCAGACACCAGGTTTCTCCTATGCAGGTGTCCAAGGAACAGTTTTATTTCTTGTGTCCCACATGGGCAGCTGTCCCGCGTCAGTCCGCGTGTGCTCGCAGAGCAGCAGGGATCAGAAAACAGGTGGAGGGCTTTGCTTTTCCAGGTGCATCCCGAATATACACTGGGCAGAGAGGGCACCCAGAGATATCACCATCTTGACCACACTGAAGTGGGCAGGTTTGGAAACCTGAGAGGTCGACACACAAAGTTTGGAGTGTCTCTTCCATCTTCCTACACTGTCAAGTGCATTTTCCAGATTTTTAGTCTGGATTGGTATTTAAGCCCAGACTGCTGTCACTGCACCAGTGATGCAGGAAATCAAAACAGAACCAAAGTGGAAATCTTAGCAGACACCAAGCAAATGTTGTCCTGCCACTATCTTCCCAGCTCCAACCGGTCTAACCTGCAGCTTACAGGGATTGTATCCCATGGAATAGTAAACGGAGGCATTTTTTTCTGCAACTTCCCTGGCCTGCCCACTGAGGACAAAATGCTCCTGTTGTCTTTAGTCTTTACTTAGATGATTGCTATGCCTGTCATCTGCCCTGCCGCTGGGAACAGAACAGCGTGAACTTGGATCACTCCAGGCCCCAGCCTCTGGAGACCCAGTTCCCAGCTGAGACGATTGTTTTCCACGTTCTTTTTGGTGAAACCCCCTAGGACCGTGAGATTATAGAGCAAAGCAATTAGTTTAGTACAATTTATGACAAATGATAGCTCAGCCTGCAAAGAAATGAACCACAGAGAGGATCAGGAGAAATGTGTTCACCAGCTGAGAGGCCAGAGTCCAAAACATGTGGTGAAGGACATGAATTTCTGAGCCAAAAATTATCAGCAAGGTCTCCAGGAAAAACAAGTAAAAAATAGTATGTCATGAATGTTGTATATTTCCCTTTTGAAGTCATAGTTTCTGCTTCTTTCCCTGCAACCCAGCAGGCTAGACATTTGAAAAAAAAGCATAGCTGAGCTTTCTAATGCTCTGATTACAGAAGTAGAGAATTTAAGAAAATCAGTAAATACTTCGTCCACAAAAGAGCTACCAATACTGCCATCACTTCCCTCCTCTCTTGTAAATCATTCGTCCAGTAAACTTCGTCTACAGTAATTTAATCAAACACATACCTCATTTAAAGTTGTTTGAACCAATTTAAACTGTAAGAGAAGCATCGAGTTTACAAAGAAGACTGCAGCAGAGAGATCCTGTTAGACTTTGGTTTTCTGTTGACCACTGGTGTGTCAGTGAGCAAATCCCTACCCTCTTCTGCCTTGCTGTCAGTCTCTGATATAACCTCTGCATTTTGGCAGGGTGGAGACACATACCTGCCGTGGCATCTATGGAAGGAAGGAGAGATGCGATTACGGGTTTATTTAGAGACACATACGAGCACCCACGTCCTATGTGGAAAAAAAAGACTAATACAAAAGAATACATTTCATATTTTGCACAAAGTTGGCCCGAGATCAGAGTAGCAGCCTTTCGCAGGACTGCAACACCCTTAGGCAGCCCTGTTCAGGGAGCTGGGATTCATTCCCTTGTGAAACGTGAATTCCATGGGGCTTTGGTTTCCTAGTTTTGTTCCCCAGGGCTGTATTTCTGCATTGGCAACTGCTGAGAGCCTCACAGGCTCTCTAGGTATTTATTTCTGGACAAAAAGCTAGGGAAATAAGGATGGTTCCTAAATGTGCTTCCAACCTCAAAGCTGGTCAGTGGTTCTGATACCAGGGCTGAGGCTGCAGCACAGCACCCAGGGCTGCAGACGCAGCTGGCTGCAGTCACTCAGGGTTGAATCTGACTGGCTGGTTTTCGTGTCCTGTGCTCAGATCTGGGGGCATAGTCCTTTTTGTATTGGCTTTAGGAGAGAAGCCTTCCCCCATCCTATCTGAGTTTAAAAGGAAAGCAAAAGAGTTGTTCTTATTTCCTGGAGCAGATTGCACACACTGACCATGGCATCTGAAAAGGTGAGAGCTTGGACAGGGTGGAAGCATCTGGGAAAACTGCCTCAGTGCTAGAATTCTGCTAGAGATGAAATGTCTGCCCTCTTGGCCTTCATCTCAAGCAGCAGAAGCTCTTGTTTGGAAAGAGGCCTGGCCCTGTCCTGCATGGCTGGAAAAGCTATTTCATGCTATGCAAATACCCAATGCAGATGCTTGGCACAATCAACAGGCAATTTGTTTCAAAAATCTAAGACAGGATTCTAAGATAGAAGTTACATCTGATAGGGACAAAGAAAGAAGTTTTGTAGGGGATAATTTTAAGGTCACTTGGGCATTTCTGGAAACATTAGATGCAATTAAGTATTCAGAGGGCCAGCATGAAAGACAGTGATACTACCTGTATGCCCAAAACAGGAACAGTCACTCTCAGGAAGGAGCCCTCTGTCCACCAGAGCATCGCTCTTCCTTGTCTCACAGTTCCTGAAATGCCTTCTGTTCATGAGTTGTCCTCACAATGCTCTGGTGTTGCCACCATATAACCACTTCATCTCTTTTTCTCTTCTCAGCCGGTACTTTATAGCTATTTCCGAAGCTCCTGCTCTTGGAGGGTGAGAATTGGTAAGATCTAGTGTTGACTTCTTTTTTGCTCTCTTGTTGTTATTGCAGTATCCTTCCCTTCACTAACCCGATTAATCATAGAATCACAGAATACCAGGTTGGAAGAGACCTCAGGGATCATCGGGTCCAATCTGTTCAGTTACTTATTAAGAGTGAGATCAGCAAACATGAACCTGGAACAGCGAGGCCTTTCCCCAGTGGAAGTGAAGGGAATGCCACAGTTCACCTGGAGCAGGGGGAGGGAGAGGAACAGACAGGAGGGTTTCGCTCAGCCTGCAGCCCATTGGAGGGAATTAACAGGATTCAGATGGCTGTTTCTTCCACCTTATGTAGAGGGGCCCTACACTTGCTTTTACAGGGATATTGCCTCAGACTCTGGTCTGCCCAGGTCTTAAGAACTAAGCAGGGCTGGGAATGGTCCCTACTTGCAAAGAGTGGCAAAGCTTATTTTGAAAATGCAGTGGTTTTGCCAGGACTGATTTTAACTGCTCTGGTTCTTCATTTGCCAGAGCATTATCTTCCTGGTGGACTCAGGCTACCTTTCTTGAGGGGTAGGGTCTCTCTTTGTTGTTGTTTTAAAGCCATTCCTTTTTCAAATGGAGAGGTTAACATTTCCCTGAGCCTGTTACCAACGAAACTGGTCTCAGCATGCCTGTCTGATGCTGTATTCTCTGCTCTCCCTAGCACTGGCTCTGAAAGGGATTTCCTATGACCTGGTGCCAGTGAACCTCGTGAAGGATGGGGGGCAGCAGGTAAGGATACAGCCACCATTGCTCTCTGAACTCAACTTGGGGATCATTAGAATTTGGATTAGCACTAGAAAGTTCACAAGCAAAGTCACTGAATTTGGATTAGCACTAGAAAGTTCACAAGCAAAGTCACTGAATTCCTCACTGCTTCTCTGTAATTAATAGTTGCTTTCAGCCAGTATATCCTGGAATGCAAGACACAGGGAGAGGATGAATACATGACACTAAAGGTTTTTTCCTTTCTTAGACATCTGTGACTGAATTTCATACGGCTGAAGAGTTTTTGCTCCTGCTTATATAACTGAATATATCTGGCACCCAGACATCAGAGAAGCTGCACTGCAATTTACATAGAGACTTGATCTCTTTCAATTAGCACCATGAAGTGTGTGTGTGACAGGGTGTGTGTGTCCAATAGATGCTAAATGATATAAATAGAGACTTGATCTCTTTCAGTTAGCACCATGAAGTGTGTGTGTGTCCAATAGATGCTAAATGATATAGCAAGGGTCTGCAAAGGACCTGCCAAAGGAGAGGGTGTGTTGCTGGAAGAGGTCTTCACCAAGAACTTATCTGAGAGGCCATAGTGGAGAGTTTTGCACCTAGAGGACTACCAGCTCGATGTGCCAGTATGGGCTAAGACAGAATTGGAGAAGTGGAAAAGTCATAGTGACACTGCTGCACTCCCACCCATGTTTGTGCTGTATCTTTGTACTGATGGTTTGTCAGGAGGTAAGGCAGTCTTCCCCTGGATGTAGGGCCAGACTGCCTCTCACTGGGTCCTGAGCCGCAGTGAGAGCTTGCTGTAGGCTAATAGTACAGCATGACCTACTACAAATAGTAGTACTAAATAGAAGGAAAAGCCAGGTAAAAAAATAAAATAATTTGGTAACTGGGTTCTAAGGGAAGGAAACAAAGAGGAAGAATTTCTTGCTGCAGTAATCTCAGGTTTGTTTCCAGTTTTCTGCTGAATTCAAAACGGTGAATCCGATGCAGCAAGTCCCAGCTTTGAAAATTGATGGCATCACCCTTTCCCAGTCGGTGAGTTACCAGCAACATCCGTGTTAACCATTCACAGGCCTGCTGCCCAGTCTGGAGGGGATCTTTTCTCCAGAGCTCTCATCTGTGCATTGGAAAAGAGAAGGCATTTGTGATAAACAATCCCGCTCTGGGGCAGAAGTGGCACATAGCCTTTGCTGGGAAACTGCTGTCAAAGATTTAAGCTTAATTCAGCTTTGGTTCATAACTTCACCTTTCACTGAGCAATTTGTAGTCTGACTTAGATGACTGTGGTGGAGTTTGCCTGAAATTACAGCTGGGCTAAATGACAAGGTCCCAGGCAGACATTGAAGGGGTTATTAAGTTGCTTGGATTGGTAACAAACCTTATTCAAAAGCTGTTGTATTCTTTTGGATCAGCTTCCCTTTCCCAGGTGTTCAGGATGTGAAGTTTTCCTTGGCTCACCAATAACCTCCCGTCATCTCTCTGCTCATTACAGCTAGCTATAATTCATTACCTAGAAGACACCCGTCCTAACCCCAGACTTCTGCCCCAAGATCCAAAGAAGAGAGCCCAGATCAGAATGATTGCTGATCACATTGCCTCTGGCATTCAGCCACTTCAGGTATTGCCTTGTCATAGCCATGCAAATGAGAAAACCAGGATGGATTTCCAGGACTCTGTATCTCTGAAAAGCTCAGTCTCTTTAAGTTGTTGACAGCCAATAGACTGGCAGACCTTAAGACTGTGTGTTAGCAGATGAAATCTCTGCTCAGCCTCTGCCTGATCTACCAATAGCAAAAATACAATATTTCCTGCAAAGAAAATCCTACAGCACCCCAGGGTTCTTTCCCATCTGGTTTCACTGCTGGGTCTCAGATGTTTTAGGAAGAAGACAGTTAAGCAACCCAAAGGGCAAAGAGACACCCTGGCAGCTGTTACAGGATAGTTCCAAGAGAGAGAGATAGCAGGGTGCGCAATTCAGTGACCCAGCAGGCTGAACTCAGGCTGGGGGTTCCAGCTTGGCAGCTTTTCATCTCCCCTCTCTTCCAGTGGATGAGAGAGTGGGCAAAATCCATCCAGCAGGAGAAAATCTAACCTGGGGATTGCTTGCCTTCACAGAACCTGGTCGTCCTCAAAAAAATGGGGGAGAAAAAAACAGAATGGGCTCAGAACTGCATCACGTCTGGCTTCCAAGGTGCGTCTCACATCCCAAATGATCAGCACTTCGACTGACCCTTGGAAAGGCTGCACTGCTGGGGTCCTACTTTCCTTTTCAAGGAGAACAACAGATCTTCCTAAGCTGGTGTCCTGGGGTCCTACCCCGCTGGCAGAGACAGTGCTTTTGCTGTCCAGAGTCCCTTGTCCAGGACTGGTAGCTCCACAGGGTCTCAGAGGAAGAGGGGAAGCCTGGAGCTAACTTGTACACTGCAGCAGTTGATTCACCATGAAGCATAAGGGCTGACAGCACTTCTCCTTTTCACCCAGCTGCTCCCAAACTAGTGCCTTTTGCTCTAAAGTTCTGCCGATCTATATGCTTTTGTAGTCAGACAAAAGATATGTGAAGGCAAACTCTCACAGAATCTAGCAAGTAGCATGGTATTTCTTTACCTTCCTGGGAGAAATAGGGTGCTTTTTGTTTCTTAAAAACTCTTTTTCCCTCATGTGCTGGAAGTGGCAGGCTCATCTTCACTTCTGGACAGATGCAAACTGACAGAACCTTTGCATTTTTCCCCTTCCCACTCACAGATCTCTACACTGTCCTCTTAGTATTTCAGACTCCCATAACTATGCTATTGTAAGATTTCTGTTCCTTCTAGGTTCTGTCCCACATTGCTCTTTTTTCATACTCAGCTCAGGGTCAGAATGCCCGTGTTCATAATTCCCAGTCTAAAAGGCCTTTGAGGTCCCTTTCAAATGAGTTTCCAGTGTCTCACTCCAGTGTACCATCTCTCTTGACAGCGCTGGAGCAGATTCTGCAGCACACTGCTGGGCGCTACTGTGTGGGGGATGAAGTAAGTATCCGAGAGCATTGTGTACCATTGGAGAACTGAAAACCCCAGTATATTCCATAAAATAGGAAAGCACAACCCCGTCCTGTGCCTGGCGTTATACGTGGTGTCTTCACTGCAAGAAAAGCAGCTGAATGGATCTTACTTAGGCCATTACTGACTTGCAAATACTTACAGAGCTGTTAATTTGTCTGTGCCAATAGCCTGCTGATGGCCAGATTCTACAGCTCTATCTAGGATCTGGCTGCTACTAGAGCATATGGAAACAGATTATATGTATTTTATCTTTAATCGATTTAGAGTGCAAAGTGTTCTGTCGTAGTGGCAAAGCTTGGCTCAAGAAACTCAGGTTTAGTTCTTAGTTCTGCATTGTGTAACATTTAAACCAGTTATATTTTTGCACTCTGTCTGATTTTAAGAGGGACAGACTTTAGAGAGATAACATACAAGCTGTTCTGACCCTTACCAAGCTCAGGCCTCTTCTGCTTAGCAGTCTTGATTGGCAGGCAATTGGGTTTTGCCTATAAAAGCCTGAGAAAAAAAAAGGAAAGCTCCTGCAATATCCTGTGATGCAGAGGATTGTCTAGTAGGAGCCTTACGGAACTGGAGCCTTTGGTGGGCAAAGGGTAGTTCTGAGATCTTATGCTGGAGAATAATGTGTACTGTGAAAGACACTCGGGGCTCTGTGACCTGGGGAGTAGGGTGGGGGCAGCTGCCCCGTGCAGACAGGCAGCTAGCTGTATTGTCCTTCAGCCTTCTGGTCAGATTGCGAGTCCCTGAGCCTGTGCGCAAAGGCCCTGTCACATATCGGGTCTTGACATTGGCAGGAGCTGCTCAATACTCCTGCAATACAAACAAGTGATATTTGCTCATCCTTCCCCAGCCTGCAAACTCCCTCCCTCCCTCCATCACCTCCCTCTACAGCTTGCCAGCAGGCTTGTTTGCTCAGAGGCAGTTGGCACAGAAGCCCTGTGTCCTTGAGGTTGTTGTGATTAGCTGGTGAATATGGAGTTCCCTAAAGGCTGATGGCTTCTACTAGTGACTGCGATGAAGTTCCTCTCCTTGTACCATTAATAATACGACTTATTAATGTATTTTATCTTTAATGGATTTAGAGTGCAAAGTGTCCTGTCACAGGGGCAAAGGATTAAAGAATGAGATTGTCGTAACAACTCCTCTGTACTTGCTGATAAAATACTTTCTATCCTGCTCTCAAAGACTGCCACCACAATGAAGTTCCGAGTTACTCTGACCCCTTTTCTCTGCTACGTTTGCAGGTCTCCATGGCTGATCTGTGCTTGGTGCCTCAAGTTTTCAATGCTGAAAGGTAAATTAAGGCTAAGCTTCAGGTGCTTTTCAAGGGCACCTACTCCTTGTGCTCGGCTGCCAGAGTTTATCTTCTGCTGCGCCTTGTGCCAGAAAAGCATCACTCCTGCCTGCCCTATGCAGTTAGGAAAATTCTTGAAGGGAAGAATCTATATGTCATAAATTCTGCCTCTTTTGCAACCTCTTTGAAGTGAGGAGCTATGCTCTCTTCTCAGATGCCTCAGAGGAAACCTGATCTATGTCCTTAGAAAAGCTAGGGTTGCCCACACTCCACATTACCTGTTTGCGCTATATTTACACTGCACAAGGGGAAAAGATTAACCTGACGGTGTTGAAAGCCTTAAACCTATGCAAGTAGTGGCTCCACAATTCCCAGGAAAAGCATAGTGTCTTCTTACCTTGTGCTGCACACTATGTAAAAGCCTAGTGAGGATGGAAGAACTAACTAACCTTTCCTCTAGCATTTGTTTTTAAACCTGCAAGGATGGACCTTTTAATATACCCCAGCCTGTGCAATTCTCCCATACTGGGCAGGCACAGCACACTGCTCTGCCCTTCTGTTCATTGCTGCACTGGCTGCCCCACTCATATCACAAATTCTTTTCCTTTTGCAGATTCAAAGTGAACATGGATCCATATCCCACAATAACCAGAATAAACAAAGCTCTCTTGGAGTTAGAGGCATTCAGAGTAAGCCACCCATCCCGACAGCCAGATACTCCTGCAGAGCTGCGAGCTTGAAGCCCTTTTATACTCAGTAAACCAAGTCAGCTGGAGTGTCAGAGGACAAAACCTACAGCCGTCCTTCAGCAGTAGGACTTCAGTGCCAGCAGGAAGCCCTAATACTATTGTCTCACTTTGATCTGGGTGGAAAGCAGGGCAGAGGATCTGGAAGTGGCCTGGATGACTTACAGGAGCCATGCCTGTGCTGGAAAGCTTGCAGCTACTTCTGTTTTTTCCATCTGATGTATCTCTATGAAGCAGATTAAAGCAGAAGCATCCAGAATTATTAAAAGCCCCCTTTGCATGACTTTGGGTTGGGGAATGTGGCCACAGACAACCGTGAGGACCTTCCAAGTGACAGGAGTAAATCCCATTCTGCTCATCCCAAATGGAAGCCAACACTTAAGTCACCTGCAGAGCTGACAGCACCCTGGGAATTCCAGCCCAAAAACCTGTAGGACAAGAAGGGAAATCCAGAAGCCTGTGACTGTGTTCGTGTGCAGGCTTAGCTCTGATTCCACTGGATGTTTTGGTACCCAAGTTCAGTTACCAAGCTAGAGACATGGGAGGAAATTTCTGCCAGTCTGATTCTGTAGATCAGGTACCCCAAGAGAGAAATACCCACAATCCTCAGAAAGATTTTACAAACCTGTGATCTCTTGTAGGTAAGTTAGCATTCACCTACATACAGATACTTGGACTGCCACATTGCTTGGACTCATTTATTGCCATCCATGTCTGTATTCAGGCTGGTGAAGAGCCCCTTCTGTTCCAGACTTGTTTCAAGTATTATCCTAGGTCCAGCTGGATCTTGACTGTGCTGTTGTAAAACATCCCAGCACAGTTGGAGCCCCCAAAGACCAACACCGTGTGCAGGTTATGTTCCTCTTTGTTCTCCTGGTCCACATCCGTCACATGGGCTGGAGTCAGGTCAAGCAATGTGTGGCCAGCTCGGGGCACAGACCACAGGTCGTGGTGGATCACTGTGCTCCATGAAAGAGTATCTAAAGCAGAAAGGGACTATCAATACTGACAAGCTCATTCCTAGTGCAAAGGGTGAAACACATGGACCAGACCAGGTGATAAGAAACACCCCTGCAGCCCCACAGTCACCTTCACCTATGGAAACGGGGAGTGAGAGTCACTCACCTAGATGGAAGACAAAAGCATCCTGCAGGGCTCCCTTGGCATTGCAGCCTCCACTGATCAGAACCTTCTGGTCCGACACAGCCAGAGCTGCATGAAAACTACGACCAAAGCAAAGCCAAAAGCCAGCTACAGCAAAACCTGCTATGGTTGCCCCAGTCAGCAGTGGGCAGGGGAAAAAAAAGGCTGGGTGCTTAAGCTACAGAATGGAAGTTACCTTCTGCTTCACTGCTTGCTTAATAACCCTTAAAGAGCTGTTTTCCTCTGCAGGTCAGGCCATAATCATGCCTGAAAAGCACCTTATTATCTCAGAAGGAGCTATCAAAACTCCTATATTTTGCTCTATTGAGCGAGGTAGCAGGCTAGATGCGCTGTTGGTCTCATTTAGCTTATTGTCCTAGCAGGCAACAGTGTCGCTTTAGGAACAGCGAAGCCCAAGTTGAGAGTTTCCTCCTTTCTGTATGTCTTGTGCTCCAGATTACTATAGAGACTGAACAGCAGGCAACATAGTTTACTAGCACACCGCAGAAAACTTCCCCTTGCCTGAAAGGCAGATTCCAGGGAGACTAAGGGGTCTGTACCCACCCCACCTTGCATGCACCAACTAGGATGGCGCACGAATTTCTGGTCCCACAGCAGAGGGGCCATCTGCTGTATTTTCACTAGTGGGACAGACATGAGAAACTGGGCCTGATGGCAAGCACCGCTTAAACCTGGCTTCAGAGAGAAAGAAGATAGCTCCAGCGTCTGCAGTAGGATCTTACCAACGTGCAGAAGGCTGTCCTGCAAGGAGGGGCACTGGTGTGTACTCCATGAAACCTGACAGCCAGAGGAAAGGCAGGTGAAATGTCCAAAAAGCTCAGCCTCATAACTAGACAAAAACTTCCATACTCTGCCACATCAGCAACCTGCATTCTGTTACCCAACTTCTTCTAAAAATGCAGTTTCTTGTTTTTCCCCATTACCTCCCCTCTTACCAAAGAAAGGGGTTTTTTTACCCCATGGTTTTCCATCTCTATTGCCTAGTCAGAAATTTTTATAATGTTAATGCTACCCTTCTATGGAGCATGCCTCCTCTAGTCCCTGCCTTAGAATGGACCTTCCAAACACATCCACTGGCACAGACTTTCTTACCCAGATCAAGGATATGCATGTCACTGAGGTAGAGAGAAGTCCTCCGACCCCCAAAAATCAGCAACTTATTCTTCAGTAGAGTAGCTGAATGCCTGGGCAGAGAAGAAACATGAACAAAGTGTCTTCAGCAAGTTCCAAACCCTGACATTTCCACCTTGGCTCCTGCCACATAGCTTCAGTCTGCACCTGCCTCTGCCCCCAGACACTGCAGCCCAAGGACAGAATCCCATCAGGATTCATGACAGGAGGTACTGGGAGCCACATTGCTCAAATCATAAGGAGCAAACCATGGAGAACAATCACCTAATATTTAGAAAATTACACTGGGGTGGGAGGGAAGGTGGGCAGAGGTTTCCTCTGTTTTGGAGGGCTGGAATAAGAGCACTCTCACCCAAGCCTAGGGAGAGGCTTCTCCCCTTCTGAGATGGGTTGGTACCAAATTTCATGTTCTGGATTGAAGATGTAGAGCATATTGCTGCAGGTTCCAGCTGTCAGCGATGCCTTTCTGGGCAAAGTCCCTCCGAAAACAAAGAGCTCCTTGCGGTAGATAGTTGCGCTGTGGTAGGTGAGCACTGGTATCCTTCCTTTAGCCTAGAAAAAGTTAAACATAAGTTTGTTACAAGAAGTGCCTTATTTGCTGCATGGTCTGTAGGAAAGGGGCCCATACCATGCAGTGAGTTCAGTAAGTCTCAATTTTCACTTAATTGGCTTCCCAGCCAAGTCTTTGCCACACGGGCAGACAAATACATCCTTTGCATACTCTGCACCACCATCATGCTCCAATGAGAGAAGGATGTCAGCCTCCTACCCCAGCTTCCTCAGAAGAACAGAAAGATCTCATACAGAGAGATCATACAGAAAGATCTCATCCAGGCTTGTTATGTAAAAGCCATCTTGTGACTGAACCAGGAAAGAAACAGACAGTCCCTCACTGTCAGGGTTCTCTGCAAGGATATAACAGGCAACTAAAGGGCTCAGAGATGTGCTGTGCTCAGAGCAGTCCCCAGTTTGAGAAGACCAGCTCTTTACCTCAGCATTCAGCGCAACTCTCAACAGCGCCACATAAAATGAGAAGCTACTTCCTCTGCCGCATGTCGAGTTCCTCCCACCCATGACCTTGGCCAGACACAGCACCCTGCAGCAACCATTTTTTCACCTCGTTCCATTCACTGTAGGCACAGCCCCTAGTTTCTGCCAAGCCTGTGGCCTTTCAACGTAGCCCTCTTATATCTGTCCATCCTAACTAAAGCTCAGACCACCTGCAGCAACAGTGGACCAAAACTACTGGAGCGGCAACACGGACACATCGATTGCCACATTCAGGCAGGACCTGCCACCCCTCCTGTGCTTTTGTCTTGCAAGAGCTGCAGTACTTACATCCACAAGGAGCCATTTCCAGGTGACTGTGTCCAGAATATAGATGCTGCTGTAGTCTTTGTCCTCCCTTATGCCTCCAAAGACATAGATACGCTTGGTGTCTGGGTCGTAGGTAGCTGTGTGACCATGCAAGCACAATGGCGTGGCATTTTGTAGCTCAAAACCCACTGGAAGCCAGAAATCACTGTCTGTGGAAGCAACACCAGTCAGATGGCATGGGAGTTCAAAGATGCTCTTGCTTTCTCCAGATTTAAAGAACATGTAATTAAATCTTTACTCAAGACCTTACTCCCTTCCTCTCCTCCTCTGTTTCAATTCAGGGGTAGAAGGGACTTACACAGAAAAGTTTCTGTGGAAGGACTGAAGGGGAACACTAACTAGGTGGGGAATAGTAAGGTGGAAGAGAGGATTGGTAAGGCACAGAAAGCTGCAAGGCACTGGAATTGTCTCTCACTTCTCCACCAGTCATCACATACAGACTGCAAACCATGCTGTTGCTTTTACCCCTTAAAATTAACCCAACTCTTTCCATAACTTGCTCTCACATACAACCCCACAGCCACTTATGGCACTCTACACTGTCAGCTGAGCCCAGTGATCATGCTAGATGTGACACCTTTGCTGTCCCCTACCTATGCACCCTTAGTACCTCCTCTCATCTGCAAGAGTTGTCCTCAAGTCCCACCACTCCCATTGCCTTTGATAGCCCTAAAGTCCCTACCAATTTCCAGCTTCCAGAGTGTATCCTTGCAGGACTGCTGATCAGCACCTTGTCCACCGATCAGAACAGCTGTCCCCGGGTCACTGAGGCACATGGCGTGGCACCACCGTGGGCTGGGACTGCCTGGAGAGGGGAGAGCACAGGCCCGTGAGCAGTCAGACAAGACGCAGCCCCTCAGCTCCCTTCCCTGCTGGGAAGAACAAGGCAGCTGAAGGTACAGAGGGAAGAAATGGGAAGGCAAGGATGCCAGGTCCCTTCCCTCTGTGATGGCAGGAGACATAGCTCTCTGAGGAAGATTTTCTGTTTGCTTTGGGGAATAACTTCTGTGTAAGGAGAGCCAGCGCTAGCAGAGGGAGCAAGCACAGAGTCTGGCTGGATGTAGGAGGCATACAGGCTGCCACTTCACACAGGCTTGTATGGTCCCCCTCAATTACCCATCCCCAGAAGTGATATCCCAGTTGTGCTATCCCTATGTTTTACTCCTTGTGAGGGAGAGCTACCTAGGAATAGCTTGTTAATGCAGCAACCAGAAGCCTCGAGCTGCTCCAGAGATATTCCTCAGACTGCTCTGTTCCTGCTCCTTTCTTCTTCCAGGCCCTTGTGGTCAGCTGGGCACACTAAAAAATACTTCTTAAGCAAAGTCTATTCCACTTCTTATGCTTTGCCTCAAAGGGCTATGCATCCAGAAGAGTGCCTGAGATTCAGAGGGGCTACAGAAACATAATGAAGAGCCGGACGGTAATGGAAGCACCTATTGCCTCTATGCAATTGCCTACTGGAGGGCAATTGCATGGAGAAGAAGAGTATAGACACACAACCTACTTGTTCTTCTTGATTGCTGGGGAAACAGAGGATGAATCATGAAATGCCTGTGACATGGAAGGGAATGGCATCACAGAGTGGCTGAAAAGACAAAGCAAGGTGTAGGAACCAGATCCTCACCTGGCAACTCCTCCACTGCCAGATCTGCAGAGGAAACACAGAGATGGCTCCATTAAGAAAGCAGCCAGCAGACATGACCTGTAAAGTACTTAGCTCCATCCTTTAAGAGCCCTCTGGCCTTCCTTCCTCCCAACTCCAGCACAAAGCTACCTCACCGCAACAAACAAGGTGCAAGACCAAGAAAGCCTCATCAGAAGAAATGCAGAAGACAGGTTAAGAGCAAGGCACACTTCCTGTGACTGCCATCATGCTGTGATCACTGCATTTTACCCCTTTGATGTAGCTCATTTCCTCTCTTCTCACACTGCCTACAACTTTATGATGGAGCTATATTTGCCTTTGTGAGAAGCAAGCCAAGTTCCAAGAGGTCACTTCACATGGAGACCACTGGGTTACTATTGAACACTTACACACAAACTTGATCACACCCTGTATCTGACTTGGAATTCACACTCCAGAATATGAAGGTTTTGTTTCCAAATCCCTCGGCAGCTGCCTTCTCACCTGAAAAGTCAGTTTATTTATTCCTTTTCATGTTCTCTGTATTTTAACAGTATCAATCAAGATCTTCTGTGGACCAACTGGCATGCTGTTAGTAGGGGAAGAGACTAATGGAAAAGTTACAGAATATCACTACTGTGCCTCAATTTACTCTTTTATAAAACAAGGCTAATGATACTTGCCTTCATTTATAAAGCACTTTTACTCATAGGAAGAGATAGGCATATGATGTTATGGCACTAAGAGTTTTCCATGTTCTATTTCTGTCCGTTTCCCAACGGGCAAAAAATCATTAAGCAGTCTATCCAGGATAAGGAGCAGTTGTCACTATTTGGCAAGTCAAGTCAGAGAAGTCCATCTTGCCTTAGAGGTATACAGAGAAACAGGACTGGGATCATTCAGACAAGAACCTGGCAGAGTTACCTTCTTCGTCAAGCTCTCTCTCAGATGCTGTGGGTTCAAATAAAACTTTCCTGGGCTTCTTGGGGTGGACAGGACTCTTCCTCCAGACTTCACTGGATTCCACCTTGTCAGATGGTGGCTTCAGGGCACAGGGTACTGCCAGGGTCCTCACTGGTGGGTGGACATCCTTCCTCCCAGGCCTGCATGTTCTAGTAGTCACCTCTGAGCTTTGATTCTGAACCTGTGACAAGAGCCCCAGTCAAATTAGCCCTGAAGAAAAAGACCTTAGGCTACCGGGAGTTGTCTGTTACCGGGATGGAGATTAGTTTCACATGGTGACTGATTTCAGGCTTGTTTTCTCATTGAGTCTTAAGGGCCAGCATGCCAACTGTATCAGCCCCCAATGTATGCTGACCAATGCAGTCGCCTGCTGCTATATGCCCAGTGGTTCGCTTTCAGTCTGCCGGCTGCGACGGGCACAGCTAGCACAAGGCAACAGGAAAGGCAGAAAGGCCATCTGTGCTATGAGTAACCAGGCTGATCAATAATCCTACCCAGGGCTGCTAAACTCAACCCTTCCAAAGGTATTTCAAAGGAGAGTACCACTTTCTTTAGCACAAGTGAATCTTTCACGCCATAAATTACTGAGCTAGGTCTCTGCTAAGAGCAGCAGCAAATGTTTCTGCTAAACATCAACTGAGCAGCTATGAGTTAGGGAAAATATACTAAAGAGAGGCTGAAATAACAAGAGGAAGGCTCCAGGATACACATACCGCAGTAGGATCCTCCAAGTCCTGGCCAAGGGGCATGTCATCTGCTGGGAGCACTGGTGACTGGGTTGTCTCTGGGATGAGGAAGGGGCGGGCAGGTGTACTGCTGGAGACACCTCGGAGCAGCTAATGACAGAAATTATGAGTGAGAATAAAAGGACACACCCGAGTGTGCTGGCCTCCATCCACAAAGGGTGAGCAGAAAATGTCTTGCAAGGGACAGATTCCTTGGAAGTGAATAGCCCAGCTTTTATCTCAGCACCAACAGGAAAAGAAAAGGAGAAGAGGGTGAAAAGAAGAGGGTGAGAGAGTAAGAGAGAAGAAAGAGAAAGAAAACAGAAAAGCCTGACACTGGGAGATGCCAAATCCAAGGGCCTCAGCATAAGGTAAAACGAATAAGTCCCACAGACCCAGGAGAGAGTGGAACTGCAAGTGAGGGGCTCTCTGCTACCTGTCTCCTGCAACAAATGAGGTATTTTGGCAAAGCTATGTTTAGGGAGTAGAACTGGAACATCACAGAGAGTTTAGGCTCAGCACAGACGGGCATTAACAAATCTGCATGAAGTAGCTCTGCCTTAGAGTAGCAGAGAGAAGGAAAAAGAAAGGATGGGAGCAGAAGTTCTGTAGCTCAGAAGTGACAACATTTGGGACCCAGAGCAGGAAGAGTAGGATATTGGTTCTTTTACCTGTCCATTAACAGTCAGGACAAGCTTCACAGAGTTGCCTTTGTCCATCTCTTTCAACGAGGCCATGAAAATATCTGTCCTCCAGTCACCTTCCCACACCAGAGACCTGCATGGGACACCATGGCTTTTCAGCCCACAAGGGTCACTGCCTAGGGAAAAATTCCTGCTCCCACACTGGCTGGTAACAACCCAAAGGAAAAAAAAAAAGATCCAGCCCAGAAAGCAGCCCAAAGCAAGCTGACAGCATCACCAGAGAGAACCACCACAGCAGGCCTAAGCAGCTTTAGGGCCACACCAGCAGAACCGGGCAGCATGACAGGGAAGAAAGCTTTTTCAGGACACCTCTCCCGACACCCAGCAGCAACCTGCAGGCAGGCTCCAGCGT